CAACAAAACATTTTTAATTTTCTTTACCAAATATAAAAAATTGGAAATATTTATTGAAAATTATAATATGACCATTGTTACGAGAAATGACTTTCCTCTAACATTACAATAAGTTCTTAATCTTATAGGTTAAATTAGATTACAATACTATAAAGCTTAATTAAGTTACGTTGATACTTTGCATTATAGAATTAAGTTATTTTGTTTGCAGGTTACACAAGAATGATGATTTCAAGAGTTGCATTGAAATACATTCACTTAATTTGTAAAATGGATTATTTTATAAAAATATTTTAGTTTTTATTTATATATGCTACAGTTTAGCCTGGTTAAAATTATTGGTACATCAACATTTTAGAGTGATGCCTCTGTATTTTAACTTCAGTCACTCTTATTTGTTTTTCCTTATTACCCAAATTAGCACAATAATTTCCATTTTTCTATTTCGTTTTTTTCTATCTTCATCCACATACGTGAAGTTCAGTTTACGACGGATTGTTTTTTGCAACTCCAAATCTAAGCGTGTATTGTGCATGTGGGCAGGAATAATGTGATTATTCAAGCCATGAAATCTCCCCGAAGAAGTTCAACAGTCTTTTCATGTTGCAAGCAACTTTGGGGAGTGATGCCGGCGTGTCGAGATGTTTTGCCCTATGTGCAGCGACCTCCGGACATGTCAACAACACGTGGGCCGCCGTTTTTTCCTCCATCATACATGCCCTGCACAGGGCATGTCAGGGCATGTATGGTGGAGTATCTGTAACATCTATGATAATTAAATGTTTGTTAAAGGAGCCAGGAGCCACAGTAACAGTGATAGCATTTGTTACTATCCTGATCTGCGGCTTGTTCAGTCTCATTAGAACCTTGGTTAAATAACTGTTTATTTCAGGCAGGCCCTCCCTAGTTTGTCTGCAGTCTACTAAATTTTTCCAAAGCTGAGCGTGTTGATTGAATGTTACAAAAGGGGATTGGTATGATTGGTTCCAGCCCTATATAGTGGCCAGAGCCAATCCTCTTCTGGCCAGTTCGTCTGCTGCATTGTTGCCTCTGGATCCACTGTCATATCCACTATCTATTGCAGAATCACATGGTTGTATTTACATACCTTATTTAATTAAATTAATTCAAATGCAGATGCGTTGACAACTGTGACGACTAAGATAGAATGCCTCTTTTCGAGTGAAATGGGTCTCCGGTTCTCTACACTCACCATACGAATTACAGCAGCATTAACCTGCTATTTTACGCTGGTATTCTGTGAGAGCGTGGTCCTTCCTTCGTCGAGCAGACCCATTCGTGATATAACTAAACTATTAATATAGCTGCAGCATGGCTTTATCACGTAAGGATCCTACACCTTCTCAACTCTAAGCTCTTTTGAGCTTAATTCGTCCGGCTGGCTGCTTTCATTTAATTGTATCAATATACATCTTATCGAATACAAATTGTTTAGGGATCTTATCGTACTTGGTTAGTAAGTTAGGAATTTTTCTTCTCCAAAGATTTAGGGTCTTGAGTCTAATGGCAGCTAAAGTCGCTTCTTGTTGTATGTGTAGATAAAGCGGAGTTAGCTCCAGCATCGCCTCTAAGGCTGCTGTTGGTGTAGTCCTTATGCAGCCTGTGGCAGCCATACATGCCAGTCCCTGGTAACACTGAAACTTCTTTATAGTGGTGGCTTCATTTGTTTTGGTCCATCATACTAGAGTGTGATCATGTGCCAAATTACAGTTTTGTACAGTCACAATATAATTTTTGGCTTCTGACCCCATCTTTTGCCAATCATGTTTCTGCATTGTGAGAAAGTTATCCTAGCTTTGTTGATTTTGTTTTCTATGTGTTTATTACAGTTGAGTTTACTGTCCAAGGTAAGACCTAAATATTTTACCTCAGAGGATAGCTTGAGTTTTTTACTGAAAAGACTTGGGAGATTATAGTTATTCGGCATTAGTTTATTGTGTGAACATTACCAGGAGGACCGTTTTATTTGGGTTTATGGCTTTTTTTTTATAGGATTGGGTGATAAACGAGCACACAGTCCACCTGATGGTAAGTGGTTACTGTGACCCATAGACATCTACATCTATCCTCAATAAAGACTCAAGATGTAGATGCGTTGTCACCCGTGAGGACTAAGATGGAATGCCTGTTTACCAGTAAAAAGGGTCTCCGGTTTTCTACACTCACCATACGAAACACAGCAGCGTTAAGCTGTTATTTTACGCTTATTTTCTGTGAGAGCGTGGTCCTTCCCCGGTCGAGCCGACCCATTCGTGCTACAACCATAATATAGCTGCAGTATGGCTCTACCACGTAGAATAAGCCGTATTCCTTGCATTATCTCTCCACTATACAGAGAGCCGCTTGGGTCAGGGCGCACACCATGCTTGTTGTCTTTCTACCTACTTAACCTACTGTGTAGAAGTGATTGGCATTTAATTTGCTAATGAGTTCATTAATGACCATATTAAACAGGAGAGGTGAAAGAACCCCACCCTGCAGGCAACCTTTCTTGATCTGGATTATTTGTGATTCACCAACAATCTTTATTGTTTGTGTACTGAGCATGTTTACTATCCAGTCAATCAGTGCCGGTTCAACTTTATGTCTACTTAGTGCACCTTTTATGCTGGCGAAGTTCATTCTGTCAAAAGCACCTTCTATATTTTGAAGGATCCTAGACATATTACTTTGCTTTGGATGGCCTCTTCAATTTTTGTTATTACCTGGTGAAGTGCCGATTCTGTCGATTTACCTAAGCTGTAGGCGTGTTGTTTGTCGTGTAACGGTAAGTTCATTAGCGTCGACCCCCTTAATTCCCTTTCACACATCGTCTCCATCGTCTTTAAGAGAAAGGATGTGACGCTAATGGGTCTGTAGGATTTAAGGTCTGTATAGTCGCTCTTACCTGGTTTGGGTATGATTGTGACTTTTACTTCCCTCCATCCCCTAGGACCATACTTAAGAGCCAGAGCTCTCATTATGGCAGCAAGTCTGACTATTAGGGGCTTTACCCGCCCACTGTATGAGTGCCGGAAATATGCCGTCAGATCCTGCCACCTTATAGGGGAGGAAACTCTGAATGGACAATGGATTTTTTCCATCATAACCATCTCTGTGCTAAATTCCAGTCTGCTGCTGTTGGTGTCAGTGTATCTTTATGCCGGTTTACCTTCTGAGTTACACAGCAACCTGGGAAGTGCGTTTCAATTAGGATGTGTTGGGTTTCATCCAGCGATGTTGAGTAGCTTCCGTCGGGTTTCTTTAGAGAGATGGATCTCGGTGTGTTTAGCTTTAGTATTAGCTAGAATTTTTCTTATCCGATTCGCTTGTTCACAGGTTTCTATGTTACCACAGAAATTACTTCACCCTATCGAGCGTCGATACCTGATACATTTTTTATATTCGGACTTGGCTTTCTTGTTTAGTAGCATGTTTTCATCCATTGAGGTATTCATTACCCTATTTAGGGCTTTTCTTACCTTACGTTTTCTATCTAGTCCTTTACGTGGTGGGGCCACGTTTGCTTTACCTCAACATGCCTTGGTGGAGTGATTTCTGGACATGTTTCATGGTAGCTATCCATCATGGCTTTAGTAACAGCGGCTACCTGTTGTGCTAGGCCCCAACCCACCGCTCTTGGATTAGGGCTATGGCCGTCATTTGATCACTCAACCACTTGCGTATGTAATTGAGCCGACGCAGTTTCGCTGTGGTGGAGGTTGGCCTGCACGAGGCTAGTTTTGGACGAAATGCACGCCATCATTGACCGCATCCTCCCTGTCCCTGCCCAAAAATAAGCCTGCCAGCATATCTCGGGTCTCATCGTCAGTCACCGAGTCGGAGATGCACGGTAAAGTGCAGTCCTCCTCGTCACTCAGTAAACTGCCACTGAGCTAGATCTCCGCTGGTGGCTTCGGCTCAATTGTGCAGGCCGTTATTTTAATCAAGCATATTTTTGTCAAGACCACATTTATTTTACACATCAAATTATGCTATCTTGAAGAAGGCAATGGTCTGAATTTCACTTATTTACCATTTCAAGAAAGCTTTTTCCAACTAAAATTCATGGAATATAATATGTTGATGGATGTATGTGTATGTGAATATTAGTGTAGTATATGAAATGTAAATGAAACTAAGTTTTACAGATTTTATCGCGTATATTTTGTTTTATGTACCCGACGTTTTGAGTATTTAACAGCACCCAATGTCATAGTTAACCACGGCTACCTTCAGTTTAAAATTATTATATAATAGTTTATACGTGGTAGAGCCATGCTGCAGCTATATTAGTAGTATTGTAGCACGAATGGGTCGGCTCGACCGGGGAAGGACCACGCTCTCACAGAAAACCAGCGTAAAATAGCAGCTTAATGCTGCTGTGTTTCGTATGGTGAGTGTAGAGAACCGGAGACCCTTTTTACTGGCAAAGAGGCATTCCATCTTAGTCCTCACGGGTGACAACGCATCTGCATCTTGAGTCATGAGAGTTAATGAGGATAGATGTAGATGTCTATGGGCCGCAGCAACCACTTACCATCAGGTGGACTGTGTGCTCGTTTGTCACCCTTATCCTATAAAAAATAAAATTTTTGGTTTGATCTACGCAAAATGAGCATATAGTATCTTGAAGTCTTGAAGTATAGTATGTTGTATGCTTGGGTTGGGGTTTAACAGACTTCGCGAAGCGTCGATTCTTACATCAGCTGATCTTTTAATCAATTAAAACCCGACTAAAAGAATGTGAGGAATTCACCATAAGTTAATATACGCGATAAAATCCGTAAAACTTAGTTTCATTTTAATGTGCAATATTCGCGTAAACGTAAGAAACCATTATACATGAAATGTATTATTAAGGGCACTACATTGAATAAAAATCAATGGATTGTAATGGGCAAGAACTTGAATTATTTTTATTAAAACTCTCATATTAAGTTCTCATATAGCTGAAATAATTCAAGAAAATTTGTCATAAACCAATTTCTTCATTACAGATTTAAGAAAGCAGGCACGACATCTAGAGAATGATATTGATATGAAATTAGTAGCATTTAGTAAATTAGGTGTTACTTCTGGTTCATCGAGTCTTTCATCTGAGACTGTACCACTTATAAACAGTGATGACATGTTTGATACCATGTCTATGGAGCTCCAACAACTGCTTAATAAGGTATTGCATTTGGTTAAGGTATTGTTTGTATTCTAGTAATTTATAGGCTGGTAATGATTTTATAGATTGAAAGGACTAGTGGAAATTTCAAAATGTAATTATAAAATGGATTTTTTTTAACATGGAGCTTGTGTATAATGTGTCATAGTCCGATTGTAGAATTAATAAAGGCAATTCATAATTTGGATGATAATTTATAAGTATTGATTTCAATTAACATTGTTAAAATACAAAATTATCCATCTATAAATATCAGCGACAGTAGGTTGGTATATGTGTTTCTTGGCATTTAATTAAATTTTATTTTATTATATTTTTGCAGTTGTCAGCTATTAACGACAAAATGGCGGATTTAGCACCAAATGGAGCCGCATCAATGCACACCATAAAGAGACACAGAGAAATATTAATGGTAAGTGTTGCATGCCACATAAGTCATTCATAGTAGGCTTTAACTCCATAATCCTTTTCCCATCGGTTCTTGCTTCTTATAGCTACTTTGTTTGATCAACAGATAACATTGACAAATTTTTCATTATCATTGTCTATAAGTATGGGGATTTTAACAAATCTTTTATATAAGGCAGGCATCTATCTTTCTTTAATTTGCCGTTGCTATTTAGTATTCTCGATGACATAATAAACACAGCAGGAAAAAGTTGGATGTATGCGGCCAAAGACAGGGAAAGATGGAAAAGCATGGAGGAGGCTCCATAGGGGGGCCACATAACAAAAAAATGGGAAGGAAATTATGGCTTAGCTTTCCATTTACTCCCATCGAGTTGGGGATTGATACGTATTTTTACATAAAAGTTACACTATTATAAGCACACACAAAGTTTCAATATGCGGAAACACGTACTTTTTGAGAAAAAACATTATTTGAAAATTAATTATTTTTTTTATGTTACATTCCTAGCGTAAAACTGGCGCCATTTTGTAATGTCATTGTCGTCGTCAGTACGGATGTCGATTCTTTCCGAAAAAGATAGATTTTTAAATCGATTCTAATAGTAAGCTGTCGTGATATCACAAAAATGGATTTCTAAAATATAGATATATTTTCCTGTTTGCATTTATAAGATACCATAATAAATGATTTCTTATGGAAAAAAAGAAAGATAATACAATAAATGATCTCTTATCAGTAAAATCAGTTTTAATGGCGATTTTCAAGGATGTTTATTTTAACAGTACCTATTAGGGCAGATAATAAATAAAATAGGTTAGGTTCTACTTATGTCAAAGAACCAAATTTATTGACCCCGACTCCACTTGGTACGAGTTTGTCCTACTCCTAGAGTGGTTATATAGAACCAGAGGCGCGTTGGGGGAGTAGCCTCCGCCTGCTGTAACAAATCCCCGCCTCCGCAGCTTCGGCTTGTTGGTCGCCTTCGGCGACCAGCCTCAGCCGCTCCGGCTCGTCCTATGCCTGCGATTTGTTACGCAAAGGCGTAGAGGCTGCTCTTCCCGCAGCGCCGGAGACGTTGCAGTCTCAAAATGTATACAGAAATCCCTCGAATTAGTCCCCCTACACCTCGTCCCCCCCCCCCCCCCCTCTCCCCGCAATTCGACGAATGTCAATGGAAATTCGTAATTAAGTAGACTCAAAAGGGCTAGAACCCAGAGCCGTAAAGCCAGTTAAAAAAACAACAAAATATTGCTAAAATAAGTGATTTTTATTAATTTATTTCTCAAAAAATACGTGTTTCCGCATATTGAAACTTTGTGTGTGTGCTTATAAAAATGTAACCTTTCTGTAAAAATACGTATCAACACCAAACTCGATGGGAGTAAATGGAAAGTCGTACCGAAATTATTATAATTGGATATAATATATTTGTAAGAACTGTTAAGTGGAAAATAAAGCTGTAATAATAATAACTTAGTATTCTCAGTACCCCTTTATAGGATTTACGACCAAAAAATGTATATATTTTAGTTTCTGTATTGTTTACCTTACATACACTCGTATGAAGTATTTCAAACATTGGGGCAATCGCAACACAACCAAACCGGAAAACCAAGTTTGTTTGTTTTTGCTTTTTGCACAAATGTTGACTAAAAATGTTAGCTATGCACACGGAGTTTTTTCTACGCGAGATGACGTGCGTTTCATGAACGCACCGTTCATTACGCCGCAGAGGTAAATAAAGCACATTGTTGCATTTGTAGATATCAATTCAAATACGCGTATAATGCTATACAGATGGACGCAAGTAGCGCATTTTAAGATACAAACGGGCGCAAGGGAAAGGACTGGAGGAGGGTTGCACGCACATGCCACTGCGCTATGCATCCAGTTTTTACATGTGTCATTCATTATTTTCTAGTGATCTTGTCATTCAAGTATTGATTCGTTTTACGAATCGGTTCATTCGGGTTGATAATTCAAATGGATCACTACAAGTTTCAGTACTTTGTGATCTGTGAAACCCGCTCAATAATGTCGGTCGTTGGACAATACTATACTCTTCGGTCATAGGTCCTGTCAATAGTTTGATCCGGAACATTAAAAAAATATGTGATTGCAATGATCAGTATTTTGATGCGACCCGGATCTCAAATAAACGAATCATTCACGATTGAATATATAATAATTATATCTTACATATTTATTTTGTATTTACTGTGTGTTAAAGACGAAAGTAAAAAGTTGTCTAGCTATATGGATAACTGTTGATGCAAGTGTACGTCGCGTTTGTGTCGATCCATCTGCTTGTTTGTATTGCTACTAACTCGCATCTGAATTTGTGAACATGTTCATAGGGTTACTTGCTGTGAGCGCATTTCCTCCACCCCATGGAACACCTGTAACCAACTCCAAGCAAAAGAAAGGCTATGGATGCGTTTGCATATCTCTGAGGACTAAGATGTAATGCCTCACAGGTTGTAGTTATACTGGCTTTTTATACAATTCGGACCTCTTTTTTTATAGTATAGGATGATAAACGAGCACACAGTCCACATGATGGTAAGTGGTTGTTGTGACCCATAGACATCTACATCTATACTCAGTAAATAATTAAAATGCAGATGCGTTGTCATCCGTGAGGACTAATATGGAATGCCTCTTTTCCAGTAAAAATGGTCTCCGGTTCTCTACACTCACCATACGAAACACAGCAGTGTTAAGCCGCTATTTTAGTGCTGGTATTTTGTGAGAGCGTGGTTCTTTCCCGGTCGAGCCGACTTATTCGTGCTACAACTATACTACTGATATAGCTGCAGCATGTCTCATATTTACACCTTATATTTATTCTCAATTAAGAATCAAAGTGCAGATGCGTTTTCACCACTGATGAGGTCTATGATGGAATACCTCGCTTTCAGTAAAAAGGGTCTTCGGTTTCTACACTCACCATTCGAAACCATTTTACGCTGATATTCTGTGAGAGCGTAGTCGTACCTCGGTCGAGCCTACACATTCGTGCTACAACCATATTATAGTTACAGCGTGCCTCTACCACGTGTGGTTGGTACCTTTCCAGGCTCTTAGGCAGTAAACGAAATGGGATCCGCTACTCGTTTGACCATTAAACGAAGTGGGAGCTTTATGCAGGGCTCCGTATCGTTCAAACGCAGACTTCTTCTTGACCATAGGATAATGAAGTTAAATGAAACTATTGTTTATATGAAAACAAGAGCGGCTTTGTAGAGTGAAGCTTGTTGAGGCAGTGTAGAGATGTCTGTTGGGCGGGATGCAGAGCGAACGATGAGCGAGTGACGAGTAATGAGCTGGTAATGATAAGGATCGCTCACAACATGTCTTTTATTTTGGTTCGGTTGGTTGCACAACTCGTGCAAGCGCCTGTGAGGCGCACATGCTCCATTCAACCAATGAGCGCTCAGGAGGAAGGTGTGAAGTGTGACTCATAATTTATTTCACAATTATACACCTTTATACAACAATTCTGTGCAAACAATTATTAACAAGTATGTGACACAATATAAAACACAACAAATCTTTATAGTGCAATAAACAATTACTAATACGTATGTGACAATCACTACAAGACATATAACAGATCTTTATTAACAATTACTAATACATATATGACAATCACTACAAGACATACAAAAGATCTTTATTTGGCAATAACTACTACAAATACATAGGTGACAATCACTATAAGATAAACACCAACTCTTTATAGGCACACAAAAAACATTAATAAGCTTACGTACAATTGTAAGCTTACGTGACTAAAACTTAAATAACTACATAGATCGTCTTAAAGGGCATTCAACATTAATAACGTCTTAAATCTAGGCTGTTATTTACAATCTCCCCCTCGTGCGCAAGCACTAAAAAACCGTTTTAGTCCGTCGTCGTAATTGCGATGAGGCGAGAGGCCGGACGGCGCACCAAACCCGTTGCTGTTCTTATTTCAGTTATTCGGACGGGCCCATCTGGGCCTGGGTGGACTTCCGTTACTTCGCCTCTAGGCCACACTCCTCTAGGCATTGTGCCATCACAAATTATCACGATGTCCCCAACTTTTAGATTTTTGTGTTGAGAGTTGGAGCTGAACCGGGGCATTAAAAGAGGTCTGTATTCCGCTGACCAGCGTGCCCAAAACTTGTCTAACGTTACGCTTAATGATTACGTAAACTTGTTTAAATATTCTTTCTTCCCCTGAAGGGGGTAACGATGTTTCATTTCGTTTGTCCTGCGGCCACGTCGCGGGGTCGTTCCTTATAAACGCGGGTCCGGTAAACCACCTGTGTTTCGAATTAAAGTCGGCAGGTACGCCCTTGGTTGCGAGCTGAGCTGGGTACCCATCGCCAATTGGTTGACGAGGTTAGGCTTTCGATTTCAGCCAATCGGTATGCGACAAACGACTTGAACGTGCGCGGGTCCGATTTAATCCAAGCTAATACAGTTTTAGAGTCTGACCAATAATGACATTTTAATATTTTATAATCCGACTCGCGTCTGACCGATTCAGATAATCGACTGCCTAACACTGCGGCTTGAAGTTCTAACCGGGGAATCGATATTGGTTTTAACGGAGCTACTTTGGCCTTGCCTGTTAGCAATCGCGACGTCTTAGTGCCGTCCGTTTTTGCACTTACGAAATATGCAGCAGCGGAATACACCTTTTCACTCGCGTCACAGAAAATGTGTAACTCCCCTTCTCCAGATGGCGTGGCAGGTATGTACCTAACTATACTACCTAACTATTTCTAACTTAGTACCTAACTATTTTTAACTTTTTTAACAGCTGTAAGTTATTTATAAGTGATAACCGTGTCACGTGATGCTCGGTTGTGATGGGGTCGTCCCAATCTATCCCACTACGCCATATTTCCTGTATAAGACATTTGCCTATCATCGTGATAGGCGAAACTAAACCTAGCGGGTCAAATACCGACATTACTGCGCTGGTTACCACACGCTTGGTAGGTAGTGTGTCACCTCTAATTACACTCGTGGGTGTGTTTCTAAGATTGACATTGAAGCCTAACGTGTCGCGTTTGTGATTCCAAATAAGACCTAATGTTCTCTCCGAATCACTTATACCTAGCGTGGTTGTGTCGCTTCTACGCGTATCAGTGACGTCGCGTAACTTCAGGCGCGTTTGACGCCCACCCGCGTATCTCGAATGATGTGTTTCTATGTACTTTGCACATATCATTTACTATTGACTTTGCCTCGCTTTCGGAGTTGAACGCGCCTAAGTAGTCCTCCATATAAAAGTTACGTACTGTAGCCTTCGCGACCTCGGGATGTTGATGACTGTGATTCTCTGCGTTTTTATTTTTTACATAGATGGCCGTGCATGGTGATGATGCCGCCCCGAATATTAACGATGTCATCCGATACGCCGGGGTGGTACCACGACCTCACAGAAAACCAACGTGAAGTAGAGGTTTGCCTCTGCGTTTCGCTTGGTGAGTGAAGGTGGCCGGAGGCCCTTTTTACTGGAAATGAGGCATTCCATCTTAGTCCTCACGGGTGACAACCCATCTACATATTGATTTATAATAGAGGATAGATGTAGATGTCTATGGGCCGCAGCAACCACTTACCATCAGGTAGACTGTGTGCTCGTTTGTCACCCTTATCCTATAAAAAAAAAATCGTAATGCTCTAACTGTTTCGCAAGCCGCGCCTCTTAACGCTTTGCGTAACCTGGCTACGTTTTGTACGTCAGTAAACATGCTTACTGTGTCGTTGAAGACGGATTTGAAAGCCATCCACTCTGAAATCGCCCCGTCGAAATGAGGTAGCTCGTGCATGTATTTCGGTGCCGTAGAGTCCGATTTGCCTGAATTTAGCGCTTGAACAATCGCGTTGGCCAGCATCGCCATGTCGCTACTATTGTTGTTAGTATACGTCACGTCTTTACCAATGCGCGATTCGTGGTTGTTCGTGTTAGGTGGCTGTGCGTTTGGCCCCGAGGGTCGTGCTTTACCTAATATTGCCGGTCTATCGTTTACATACTGCTCCGAAATCCAACCTTCAACACGCGACTTTTCTATTCTGGACGGCGGTTCAGCGTCGTTGGAGTTTTCTAGCTCTATTCTGGCTATTTCCAAACGACTAAAGGCAGCTGCGGCTGCCGCCCTAGCCTGTGCTAATGTGGAATTATGTAACTCTAATTCGGCTTTTCAAATAGATAATCGACTATTCACCCTGTCCTCGGGGACATTTACTACTGTGCCCGGCGTACTCCTATCCTGCGTATTTAAATCGTCGACTTGAACGGACCTATTCTGGATTACTGCTCCCGTCACGTTACTGTTACCATGCCTGCCACTGTCACCGATTGTATGCTCTGTGCCCGTGCCCTTACTCCACGTACTTGTTTCTGTTGAACTTGTCTGCCCCGACGCCGGCGTGGGGTCTGTGGTAGGCGTGGATTTGCATGAACGTAATACACGTGTGTTTTCCATTGCGCGCGAGGGTCCCTAATCATACTAATTTTACTCTATCACTTTCACTTAGAGTTTCTACCCTACCTACCTAACGGTTCTGGCCGGACTCCTACCGCGGTGATGCCGGACCAGCGATGGAAACTAATGAGGAAAGGAAGGTGGATACCTCCCGGTAGAGGGTGCGGGCGCTCACGGGTGCATCAAAGTGCGGTGGGAATATTCCCCACTCATCGTTGCGTGCCAACCTGTGGCCCCAGAACGTAACCGCACCTTGCCGGCGGGGTCTATTTTACCTGCAAGTACGTTCTTGATGGTAGTTAACACCGCAAGGCTGCCACGTACTTGTGTTGTTTGCTTCCAAGTAATTAGCAGTGGTTATGTATGACCAACAGCTAACACTCGCGCGTTCTTGTTTCTGTCTTGCTTTCCGACGTGGAGAAATGGAAACTTCTTGCTTTCTTGACGCGGAGAGATGTTAACTTCTTGCTTCAGGCTTGTTGCAGGGATCCGGTACTCGAAGGACCATTAAACGAAATGTGATCCGCTACTCGTTTGACCATTAAACGAAGTGGGAGCTTTATGCAGGGCTCCGTATCGTTCAAACGCAGACTTCTTCTTGACCATAGGATAATGAAGTTAAATGAAACTATTGTTTATATGAAAACAAGAGTGGCTTTGTAGAGTGTAGCTTGTTGAGGCAGTGTAGAGATGTCTGTTGGCCTGGATGTAGAGCGAACGATGAGCGAGTGACGAGTAATGAGCTGGTAATGATAGGGATCGCTCACAGCATATCTTTTAGTTTGTTCGGTTGGTTGCACAACTCGTGCAAGCGCCTGTTAGGCGCACATGCTCCATTCAACCAATGAACGCTTAGGAGGAAGGTGTGCGGGGGTGTGTGAAGTGTGACTGATAATTTATTTCACAATTATACACCTTTATACAACAATTCTGTGCAAACAATTATTAACAAGTATGTAACACACTATAAAACACACAACAAATCTTTATAGTGCAATAAACAATTACTAATACATATGTGACAATCACTACAAGATATATAACAGATCTTTATTAACAATTACTAATACATATATGACAATCACTACAAGACATACAACAGATCTTTATTTGGCAATAACTACTACAAATACATAGGTGACAATCACTATAAAGATATACAACAACTCTTTATAGGCATACAAAAAACATTAATAAGCTTACGTACAATTGTAAGCTCACGTGACTAAAACTTTAAATAACTACATAGATCTTCTTAAAGGGCATTCAACATTAATAACGTCTTAAATCTAGGCTGTTATTTACAGGCAGAAAAGGCGTCGTAAAACATAGTACTTAGCGTTTTAATGTCTACAAGCTGTTTATAGCCCCACCTCACAGGGCTAACCTCGGTTTTAATTCAGCATTATGCAGAATGTTTAGACAGTATAATGATATACGAGGGGCACACTGAAATGATCGGGAATAAGAAAAACCACATGCACGTTATAGCTAAATTGTATTTTATTGTTTTTCTAAGTATTCACCGTTCAACTTAATGCACTTTTCCATTCGTGCAAACCAATCATTAAAACAGTAATTCCAGTCTGAAGTGGACGTTGACAAAATGGCTGATTTGTACGCTTCCACAGCTGCTTCGGGGTCTTCAAACCGTTAACTGCGTTATAAATCTTTAATTCTAGGGAATGTAAAGAAATCGTTTGGGTTCAGGTCAGGACTGTACGGAGGATGGCTCATCAGTTCAACATTTTCCTGCTTCAAAAAATCATTTGTCTTCCGAGCCGTATGGGAGCTCGCATTATCGTGATGTAAGATGATGCGACGTTTCGGGTTATTTTTTCGGAGTTCGGCTATCATTTCTGGCAAACAAACCGTGATATATCACTCAGCCGTAACCGTTTTGCGTTCCTGTAAAGGAATTGTAGCAACATGCCCCCTTTTCGAGACAAACGTAGCGACCATTTTCTTGGACACGCTGCGGGAGCGGACCACTTTCGTTGGTTTGACCTCGTCTTTGAAGACCCAAACTGCTGACTGATGTTTTCTTTCAGGTTCGTATGAATAAATCCATGATTCGTCACCTGAGACGATATTATAAACGGCATTTGACTTCCCCCGTTGAAGCGTTGCAGAGTATTCCGGCACCAATCTACACGAGCCGCCTTTTGCTCTTCGGACAAATTGTGAGGAACCCAGCGTGAAACAAACTTTCTTTCACACAGCTCATTATGTAATATCGACTGAATTGCAGTCATTCCGATTCTGATAACAGCCCGAATCTGCTCGTATGTCACATGACGGTCATCTAATATAATAGTTCGCACAGCTGTGATGTTTTCAGGCGTGACCGCTGTTCTTGGTCGACCTGCAGAAGAAACAGTGCTGAGCGACACACGACCTCGTCGTAACTCGGCATTCCAGCGGTATATTGACGTTTGACTCGGCGCTTCAACATAATAAATCGAAACAAGTTCACTGAGACATTTATCTTGAGATAAGCCACGAGAGAAATTGTGATAAATTATGGCACGGATATGTTCACGCGTGAGCTCCATTTCTGTTAACGACGTGTCAACTTTAAACCAGCATAGTTTTTGTTTTTAAACATTTTTTTTAATTGCTTGAATATCATTAAGATTCTAAGAGGCCAGTATTCAAATTCTAAAAAAGGTTTTATTGTAACTCAATCCGAAATATTCTATTCCCGATCATTTCAGTGTGCCCCTCGTATCTATGCCATCTGATTTGGATATTTTCAATGACAATTTAAATAATTTCAGAAGAAAAATGTTACTTTATTTAGAATGTAAATTTTAGATGATAAATGTAATCCTTTTTAATTTTACACAAATACGCAATTTTGCTATTGTTACTATTAAATTTTACGTTATTTTTTTTTGTTTTATTAAGGACAACAAACAGTTGTATAATAAAATTACAATTCAAATCATATATAAACAGATTAACTAATTACACAACCAACACCGTTATCCACAAAAATACCGTAGTAATTAAAACGCTAAAACTTTATTTAACTTAACGTTATTTAACTTTTCGCAACATTACTCTGTGTTAGCTATGGTTGCCTATAACTGGGTGAGCACATTGCATGTTTCTCACGATGCTTGTATCTTGTTTTTAGTTTTTGTGTATCATCTGTCGGTGAGCCTTATAAATAAATAAATAATTAGCTATTACTACTTTGTTTTTTACAGGATTATCAACAAGAGTTCTCAAAAACTTCAGCGCGAGTTAGTGCTCGACGGGAGCGCGAGGAGTTACTACGTGGCGGCAGTCCTCCCCCGGCCGCGGCGGCTGGCCTCAGCAGACGAGACCAATATGCCAAGGAAGCTAATCATTTGCACAGGTAAATAAATATTTTATATGCAATATAAAACCAACAGTATTTCTAAGAACTTAATGCTTTTCAGAATTTAATGCCTTCACTTATATTTCTTAATTATGCATAATTTATTTATTGTCTGACTTTCAAAAAAGGTAAAATCCTAATTCATAAAAGTAATTACAATAAATTCCGCATAATAGTTTCAGAAGTCGGGTGTTAAGACATAGTGTATAAAAGTATCCAAGCCCCGACTTCAGAAGTTTAATTTTGAATTGCTTTGTTTCAGCTCACACATGCTGGTGGACGAACAGATAAACATTGCGATGGAGGCGCGGGAGCATCTCTCCTCACAGCGTCAAACGTTCAAACGGATGCAGACTAGGTTTAACGACATTGCTAACAGGTAAGTATATAGCAAAAAGTACATTAAAGTTATTAACTGTGTAGTAGCGCTGTGAGAATATCCACTACCCCATATCGTCCCATAGGTGTCGCAAGGGGCGACAAAGGGAAAGTGTAACTTAAATTTAAAAACCTCCGAAACAAAACGAACTGATGATCTTCAAACGGCTGAATAGATTTTCATGAAACATAGGCTAAGAATACTCTCGATAAAGACACCTTTCAAACGAAAAACTTTAATTTCAAGTACCTGGCACTTGTTATTACATTAAATTAAAAAAATATATATAATCATTATAAAATCGTAATATTGACACATGCATTTAAATTATTAATTTTTTACTTAATACTATATAATGCATATCTCCAGCAGTCAATTAGCTGCTGGGCACATGCATTCTACAACAGTGTTGCAGATAGGGACTATTAGGGATAGCTTCGGTGGTGAAGTCGAGAAAGTGTGTAGATGAGATGATTTGTTGAGTGCAAGTGTACTGAATAACTAAATTTACTTTATCTCTTGAAGAGAAATCGACTTCAATAGCTTTATTACTTTACTAAATTGACTTGACTGAGTACTAAGGGGACTGTATAAAGCAAGGTGGGACAATTTAACAACTATTTATTAACTATTTACAATAATTATGCGGCAGTACAATTAATTACTAAATTTAACTAAATAGAGAACTACTAGAGGGAGATTTCTTATTTTCTTGAGTCTTATTTCTTCACTGCCGTTTAGGAATCGAATGATTCCCAGCGGCCGGATGCCCTTCTTTGATTTGCGCGGTGGGGGTTTCACCGGTGTTGTGTTCCCACGCGGCGGCGCAGGCATCACGTGACGTGGTGCGCGGTGCGGGCTGCGGGGTGCGGGGCGCGCGGTGCGGGGCGACGGGGCGGCGGCTCCCGAGCCGTCCGTAACAGGGACAGTACACTCTGTCACCTATCATTTTAAAAATGCCGTTGGGGCTGGCCCTAACCCTGCGCATTAGAGAAGCAGCTCTTTTACGCATAGTTGCGTAAAAACAATCTACATGTGCTTGAGCAATTATTGCTGATGCGCTGCAGCGACGGGACAGCCCTTTCAGCACCTGGAACACGTTGTTATGCTGGATCCGAAGGTTTTCATAGGCCTGTTGCGTGTAGTCCCTCTATAGGCTGCACGTGTGAAGAGATGTCCAAAACGCTCTAAATATAAAAATACTATAAAAATGTTATAACAATATTATTTTTGTTTCAGGTTCCCAATGCTGAACAGTCTTATCTACAGAATAAATTCCAGAAAACGACGCGACTCCCTTATCCTCGGTCTAGTTGTTGCTGTATGTACATTCCTGTTACTGTGCTACGCCTTCCATTGATTCTTAACTGTGACAATAAATATAATTTGTTGATTCGTGTTAGAACTGAGAGGGACATGCAAAGCAATTTGTCTATGTATGTGTAGTGTAAGTAAGTATAACTTTAAGATATTTAAGTTTTTTAAGTCTATATTCAAATTGTATGTATAGTACTTAGGAGGACATTCGGAAGGCGTTTTTTTCTGCCTCAATAATGACTAGAGCAAATATTTATTACGACAATCTATATTTACCACTGCCACGTTCCTATTGTATTCATGAATTATTATTTTGTTTTAAACTAGGAACTTTCTAAAATTATATAAACAGCCATATTCTATAAAAAAAAAATATACTGTCGTTATTAGACATTCAGCAAATTAATTTAACGAACATAAAAAATAAATGAATTAAAAACATCCACACGAAATCCTTGTATTATAATATGTAAACTGTACCAATTCAAATACTCCAAAAAATTAAAATTAGTCCATTTTAGGAGAAGGTAACCGGAATACGGAATGATAATTTCGTCAGTTTTTCATTGGCATAGTCTAAGCTGCAGTTCTCTATCAGTTGTCTCTATACCTTAGTAGTTCGGGGCGCAGCGCGACAGTAATAAAAACGTTAAAAATTCTAATTAGTTTAATCCCAAATACCCTCTTAATGTGGCAGTTTAAAAAGTTGAATGCTCTTGTTGTCACTGAATTTATCAGGAGATAATGTTTTATTTCTAAATCAAGCAGTAGAAAATTTCTACTGTGACATCTTATAAAAATCACCACTAAAGATAGGTTTGTATCATTCAATAACTATTTAAGGTAAAGCGACCTTTATGAAAGGTCTTACTAGAGTGACATTTTATATTAATTCCTCTTTCTTATATTATATTTTACAATTAGTTCAGAACATTGTATTAGAAAAAGGAAGTTTGGACTCTTTGGCGTCTCCCATAGTCAACTCGTATAAAATCTATGCGATGAAATTGGGTGATTCTCTTACGACGTCAATACACAGCTGTTCCTTTGCTCCTGCAATGTGAGTTCCATATCCAGCCCAGCTCAGATGAACAGCTGTCGTAAATGAAATTTTAGTAAAAATTTGTAGTGAACATAAGTTTGCAATTTTCCAATATCGACATAATGAAACAAACTAGTGTTGAATGTTCTTAGGAGTGCAGGACACTTTCCACCTTCTGCGGACTCGTTTATTAATTATTACGAAGAGAAATCTGCAGAGGGCGCTAGGGTGCAGTTCGTCCTTTACAGCCAACACTAGCGTCCGTATAACTGACGATTTTTGCTGTAAAAGAGTTTTATATCTTTATATTAATATGCGACAAGAAAACTTTGTACCCCTTTTTGAGCATAATGCGCGCATGGAGTGTGAGATTTGTAATAGTTTATGAAAATATATATTTTGAGTTACAGCGTTGAGTATATATCTTGGCGGAATTGAAATTGGGAATACATTAGTAGATTTTTTTATCTAAATAGTTTGTATATTTTAAACTGTATAGAAACTATTTATTGTTTAAAGCAATTTGTGATTAAACTATGGAATGTAAATAAATAAGTACGTATTTAATGCAAAATAAAATAATATATATTTTGACTAATTTTTTGGCTTATTCTCATCAACCCTGTTGTAATAAGGTTACCGTTGTCGCCACGCTTATCAATAGGTTTTTTTCAATTTAAATAAAACCAAGCGTCTCACATCTTTAACGTGGTCAACCATCGTCGGTCAACGTATTTATCAATGTATTTCATTGTGACATATATACAAAAATGATATGATGTAAGTATATGTTGTGTTTAGCTATAAACCGTAATATAGTTATATGAAAGCGGTTCATAATTCTATATTACTTATACTAATCTAGTGAAATAATTATAATTGTAAATTGAATGTACAGGAGGAACAAATTTCGCGACATTGACCCAATGTCAAGTTAATTATCTTAAGTTTCTGTTGTGTTTTTATTCATGTTTATTTTTTGACAGTAGGTTAAGGTGCGGCAAGGGTGGCATTTGGGCCGCCCTAAAGCCGCGTATATTAAAGAATTTAACTTCTTAATTTAAAAAAAAAAAAAACAAAAAATAAGTCATAAGTACTTTGCTTACTTAAGTTTGACTAACAAATTACAAACAGATATATACAAACAAATTACAGAGATAGTTATGAACCGCTTTCATATAACTATATTACGGTAAATAGCTATATCCCTAGGGATATACCTATATCACGGCTTTAACTATCTTACTGCGACATACATAGCAATGTAGTTACATAATTATTTATTTCGATTATTATTGGTATTCAGTTGGTCGGTATGGATGTGAACAAGATATCAAAAATACTGAACTTATCACTGATTTTTTTTCTAACGAGAGTCCTTATCGCAAAGTACGAATTTGGCGAATGGGGGCTAGGCGAGAAAAGTGTAAGATTTTTCCGTCACGACCCCCTTTCTATAGTGCGAGCGAGATGGAATAATATCCATCTCACTCGCACTTTTTCTTATCTTGGCATGAAAGAAATATTATTTTAAATGACGCTTAATTTTAATAGACGCTAGTAATTAATTTATTTGTATTTGTTAACCAATAATATATTACGTTTATCAATAATAATATACTACGAAAGGAACTTCGTTACAACCGAGTGTTCCACGTCTAGGGTTACCAGATGCCACAATGAGTTTTTCTGGCAATATACCTGACTTTTAAATAAATTTTAAAAAAATTTATTTAAAAGTCAGGTGCGCAAAGACAGCAAATATTCCGAGAGCTGGTAGACATTTTTGGGTAGGTATTTGAAAAGTTTTCAGCGAGCCCCAAATACCAAAAATGTCTTTTTTTATAGGATAGGCTGACAACCGAGCACACAGTCCACCTGATGGTAAGTGGTTGTTGTGATCCAAAGACATCTACATCTATTCTCAATAAAGAATCAAAATGCAGAAGTGTTGTCACCCTTGACGACTAAGATTTCCAGCAAAAAGGGTCTCTGGTTCTCTACACTCACCATACGAAACACTAGTATTCTGTAAAAGTGTGGTCCTTCCCCGGTCGAGCCAACCCGTTCGTGCTACTAATATAGCTGCAGCATGGCTCTACCACGTATAGAAACCAGCTCTCCTATATATATATATATATATATATATGCTTGACATATAAAAATTACGAGCCAGATCAGATGAATGCAAGAAATTTAACTTCGTGATTGATTCTCATATATTATTATTTTTTGTATGTTTACTGTTTAATAAATATATTAATTTGTACTTCGAATATTTTCTCTTTCTATTTAAAAATTCCTGATAATTTGAAATTTTTCCTGTTTCCCTGACAGAGAGCTAAAATTCCGGACATGTTAGGAAAATTCCTGTCATCTGGTAATGGTAACCCCATGCACGACACTCACGCATGTTTTTTTATTTGTTTTAAATTTCAATCCTTAGGAAGCCTTTTCAATTTCACTATATTTTTTTTTAATTCTAAACATTACATAAGCGTCCGAAGTGTACATTTTGGAAGTCGAAAAATTTTTTTTTTAAATTTTTTGACCAACTCATAATAACTCACCTCTGGACTAGGACCACTCCCTTATAAAGAAGAATTTGGCGCACTTTAAAGCTGTTTTTCTACACTGAAAGCTGGCACAAGTACTGATGATTAATACAAGCTAAACTACTGTGCATCGCCTTCTAATAGAGTATTGGAAATTGCTCGCGTACTATGAAATTTAGGCAAGGTTGCAATGGAACCTCAAATGTTTCACATATTAGTAAATCCTACCAACAAATTAACAGGACATCATTTTAAAAACCCTATCAAAAATGTAAGGGCAGATAAAGTACCTATGTTAAGGGAAATAAAAATACTTGTCTTTAAGAATTTGAACATATGTACACTGACTCTCGGAATCCCTATAATCCTTCCACGTAACACTTTTTCTGAATCTCTGATATATGTAAAGGTGGGGGCAAAATGACAACATAATAAAATGTAATACTTTAATGAGAAACATTGTTTACTTATTAAATAAATCATGTTCAAAATCAATCTGGTTCAAAAGCCATAACATGTGTCAGGTCAAGGGTCCAGCCGGTGCGTGACACTATCCATCAGGGGTTCGTACTCGGATGTGTCCTTTTCCTTATTTACATCAATGACCTCCCGAAGGTTATTGGTGAGTATTGTGTGATGTTTGCCGACGATTTTTCCGTTGTGTTTTCTTGTATCAATGGTATCAAACATAATGAAAGAATCGACATAATTATAAACAATGTAAAAGAGTGGCTAAGCGATCATAGTTTAGAAGTCAATATAAAAAAAAAAGTAGGTAAATACAATTCAGACCACGACAAAAAATGAACTAGACATAAATTATACATATAATCAAACAAAATAAGAATGTGTTCAAAATTTTTCTTTGTTAATTTTAAATCACATATTCAAAAAAAAATAAGCTAAAATTATCACAATTTATACATGCTTTAAATGAACTAAAAAATCTACAAATTTAAAAACGGCAGTGACTGCCTACTACGCTTACGCACAAGCGTGGCTAAACTACGGCGTCTTATTGTGGGGTAACAGTGTACAATCACACGAACTTTTTATTTTACGGAAAAGCGTAGATATATGCAGGAACTGATTTACCCACAGGCTAACTAGGCTGAAGCCTAGGGTTTGGTAAATAAAACAAATAAATAGTATCCCTATCCCTAAAAAGGCGACTGCTCAGACTCGTCCAACTACAGGTTTATCACCATCGCCTCCTTGTTCTCCAAAGAAATGGAATCCATTATAAACTGCAAGTTCTTAAGTTACCTTGAGTACTACCAGCTGATTTGTGGCTAATAAGCTAATTCTAGTTCTAATATTCTTATTTACCTGACTAAGATAGGGATGCCCGATCTGAATCAATTTTCTGCAAGATCGATTCACGGCCATACGATCTGCCGATTTTTGAATCGATTCAAAGGAATGCGATCTTCACCCAGATCGATT